AGGATTTAGGAATGTTGTATTGTACATCTGGTCTGGGACTTAACAAAGGCCTTAGAGAGCCCTAAGTTATTGACAGCCATGGGTTACTGAGAGCTGACTACATGGTATATATCAGAATTTAAATATAGTTATCTCTCAGTCAGTCAAGCTGATGAAGAGGAGGTATAAATGACCAAGGATTAATCACTAAACCTGAGCTCAGCCTGAGCTGTGATCCCTGAGAACATCTTGAGCTCTGTGTCTGCCATGCCCAGGCCCTGAGATAACATATATGAGATGCGTTAACAATCAAGAACGTCGTTATTACATGACTGGCACTTTTGTTTTTTAAGAAATGAGAATGTAGTGTCTAGAGCAATGTTTCTCCACCTGTGGGTCACAACCCCTTTGAGAGCTGAACAACCCTTTCACAGGGCTGCCTAAGATCATCAAAAAAAAAATGCAGATATTTACATTACAATCCATAACAGTATCAACACTACAGTTATGAAGTAGAAACAAAAATAATTTTATGGTTGGGATCACTACAACATGAAGAACTGTATTAAGGGTTGTAGCATCAGGAAGGTTGAGAACCACTGCTCTAGAGAGACATCCCAGAGCGTTTGCTGCTCTCGCAGGGGACCCTGGTTCAGTTCCTAGCACCCATGTCTAGTGGTTCACAATTGCCTGTACCTCCGGGTCCAGAGTATCCAATGCCCTCTTCTGTCCTCAGCAGGCACTGCATGTATACACACACACACACACACACACACACACACACACACACACACACACACACAAGATAGATAGATAGATAGATAGATAGATAGATAAATAAATGGCAAATCTTTTAAAAAAAGAAATGAGAATATAATTACAGAACTTGAGAGGTGGCTGTTGTGACAGAGAGACCTTCGGTAACATTTTGGAAATGTTTAAAGCATGTCGTTTGACTGTGCCTTGCCAGGCTAGTGCACGGCACTGGATGGATGCATGTGACCGCCGTGAGCCTGAGAGCGCCCCAGCTCTGCCTTCCTCCTACTGCATGCTCTGATTGGGTCTTGCAGGGAAATGTTAGAGCAAGATCTGCTGAAGGTTTGCTCCGATTTTGATCAGATGCCTCCCACCACTCCTCTTTTCCTGTTCTAAAGATAGGGATGTTCTTTAAGGAAACTGCCCCTGCATTTTCCATTACTTTTGATTACCTTTTCTCTTCGGAATGTCAAACACAGTGCCCGTCAACGGCTCTGAGAGTTGCTCGATATAAACAGGGCCAGACAAAGAAAGCTGCAGGGAGGGAGGGACAGGGGATGCTGGAAGGTCACTGAGTACAGCTATTTCCAGGGTGTAAGCCAGGCATGGTGGCTGAGAGCTGAGGCAGGAGGATTGCCTTGAGTTGGAGGCCAGCCTGGGCTATGATGTGAGATGCTCTCTCAGGATGGGGGTGGGGGCAGCTTACAGCTTAAGGTCTTTGCATGTCTTCTTTCTGTTTTATTTCCTCCTTCTTAGCATTAAGCCAGTTTACTGTGCAGCAGGGGAGGATGATAATCCAGAATGACCCCGTCTTCCTGAAAATCCCACATATTCTCCACACACTGCCCATTGTTGTCACGATTTCAGCATAATGGTTGTCTTTGGAGTCTCATGAAATCGGGGATCATCTATTTTTCACAATCTTAATTTTCAATCATAATGAAAAGATGGTTACAGTGAGAAGCTGTGTGCGCCACAGATAAGACTGCATGGACGGGCCAGCGAGATGGCTCAGCAGGGAAAGGCCCTTGCCCTACAAGCCTAGTAATCTGAGTTGGATTGCCAGAACTCATGGAACTGTGGAAAGAGAAATGACTACACAGAGTTGCCCTTGGACCTTCACATGCGCGCGCACACACACACACACACACACACACACACACACACCCTAAAGTTTAAAAATAAAAGTTTTTTAAAATTTATAAATAGTAATAAAACCACATGAGGGCTAGGGATGTAGCTCAGTTGGCAGAGTGCCAGTCGTGCACAAAACCCTGGGCTCCATCCGCAGCACTGCATAAACCAGGGCTGGCATCCCACACCTGCAAACTCAGCCCTGGGGAGGGAGGAATCCAAAGTCATCCTCAGCCCCACAGTGAGTCAGAGGACAGCCTGAGGTACCCAAGGGCCTATCTAAAATCAAAAAACAATAACCTTCTTGGCTACTAAAAGGAAATTTAAATTTTCACCCTGAACATGGAAAAGTTAAGTTGGAAGTAAGCAAAATTAGCATCCATGGACACAGCAATTAAAAAAAAAAAAAGGCTCATAGACAATTGAAGGTTTCAAAGCCTCCAAGGAAGATATTCTGAGTTTAAAAAAAAAAAAAAAAAAAAAGAAAAAGAAAAAAAAAAAAATTCTGTACTCTGTGTAGTTTCTGCCCCCTGCTGGACATATCCACTATCACAATGTTTTCTGCCACTTGTTAACCAAGCAATTTTTCAAAATTGCTGTCCATTTATTAGAGTAAAGATATATCCTGGTTCACTGAAATTTTTTGTAAAGTCCCAATTTCATTTCCAAGCAAATGCTGCTTTTAAAGAACTTAATCTCATTTATTCATTTAAAAGTGGTAAGTTTATAGGTATAATTTTTCTTAAAATAATATAATTTTTGCATTATGTCAACACAGTTGTAAAATTTTAACCTTTGTGAAAATATTTCCCTTTCAGAAAATTTTAATAATTTCATAAGGAAATGGTTACAGATTTCATTTCATGGAAAATGTTTTTTGAGCCAGGCATGGTGGCACAGGCCTTTAATCCCAGTACTTGGAAGGCAGAGGCAGGCCCATCTCTAAGTTTGAGGCCAGCCTGATCTACAAAGCGAGTTCCAGGACCACTGGGGCTATATAGAGAAACCCTGTCTCTAAAAACTAAAAAAGAAAAAGGTTTTGTTGTTTTGACGTTATAAAATCTAACGGTGGAGCTGAGGGATGTAGCTCAGCATAGAGCTCCTGCCTGGCATACTCGGGGCCCTGGGTTTGATCCCCACAACACAAAGGACTCCTAACGATTAGCACTGTGTTGTTACTATCCATTCCACATTAAGTGCTATTGAGGTGAGCGTTTCAGGAAGTCTGAACCACTGGGGGCCAGGAAGAATGAAACATGGACCTATGTGAGCCTAAGTAGATAAAGAGAGCTTATGGGCCCCACTCTGCTCCAAGGCAAGGCCTTCACTCCAGGCTTGTTTTTGATATTCCCAGGTACCCATTTTCTCTGCTCCCAGTAAGTAAAAAGCACCAAAGGATTCCAGGAATAGCCAGACTGACAGCAATTCATAATAACAATAACAAGGGCCCACAAAATGTCTCAGTGAGTAAAGATGCTTGCCACTAGTCTGGTGACCTGAGTGTGATCCCTGGGACCCACAGGGTAGATGGCAAGAACCAACTCCCGAAAGTTGTCCTCTGACTGCCACATGCCCTCCCCCAACACTAGGTACGGGCAGTTGTGAGCCATCCGGTGTTGGTGCTGGGAATTGAACTCAGGACCTCCGGAAGAGCAGTATGTGCTCTTAACTGCTGAGCCATCTCTCCAGCCCCTCTCAATAAAACTTTCGAGCGTGTGTTTGAAAACCTGACGCCTAGTGCACAGGCGGTGTTGACTTACCTGCTACACACCCAACTATGTTCTTTTTTCCCCTTTAAATAAAGCCTCAATCCTTAATAATTCTCTTTTCATTCTCTTTCTTCTTTCTTTCAAACTGCCTTGGGTGATTTTATTTTCCCTTTTGGGGAGTAATTATCAGCATTTATTGCTGAATAGCAATAACAACCCTGTGGCCTTTGGGGTACAAAAAGTATGTTCTGGGGATAAAATGCTGAGAGGCTCTAAGATTTGCCCCAACTTGAGAGTAATGTTGTCAAGGCCACTGATTGCTTTAATGACCTTTGTATGGAGGATGTGGCCCAGTCTAATAAAAGCCCCACGTACCCACAACGGCCACACACACCTTGCACACGTTTACTGGATCTGGTTCTACACTCCCTCATTAAATCCTAATCCAGAATACTTAAAATACTAATTGAAGCCGGGCGGTGGTGGCGCACGCCTTTAATCCCAGCACTCGGGAGGCAGAGCCAGGCGGATCTCTGTGAGTTCGAGGCCAGCCTGGGCTACCAAGTGAGTTCCAGGAAAAGGCGCAAAGCTACACAGAGAAACCCTGTCTCAAAAAAAAAAAAAAAAAAATACTAATTGAAGTAGCCGGAGAGACAGCTCAGCAATTAGGAGTTCTTGTAATGAGTGAGAGTGAGGACTGGAATTCGGATCCCAGCATCCAGGTAATAATCCAGACACTCCGCTAAGCCTGCAGCTCTAGCTCAGCGGGTGGGGGGTAGAAATAGGATGATGGGGGACAGAAGAAGTGAGCCACAGCTTCTGGGAAAGACCCTGCCTCAAAGGAATAGGCAAAAGTAATGGCGCCCTCTTCTGGTTTGTGTGCCCAGAGGTGCTCATGTACACACACACACACACACACACACACACACACACACACACACACACACACACACACTTCTGCAGTGTACTAATTGGGCTGATGAGATGGTTCACTGAGTAAAGGTAGTTACGGCTGCCAAGCCTGGACAACCTGAGTTCAGTCCGGTGAGCTCAGGACCCAATGTCGGAAGAACTGACTCCTGAAAATCGTCCTCTGACCTCCACTCATGCACCCCACCACACACATCCACGGTCACACAGCAAATAGATACAGAAAATGTATTTCAGTAATTTCTAAATACCAATTGAAGAGTCCTTTGGAAAACGTTGGCTTGGTGTCCAAAACCAAAAATATTCTTTTCAGAGATGTGTCTCAGTAACAGAGACAGAAAAAAAAAAAAATTGAGAGTTTAGTATTTCAAAGACAATTCGGGTTCGTGAGGGGTAGGGGTCCTCCGTGGTAGAGTCCCCAGACTTAGCAATGACCCCATTTGCACGTCTGAATGGTAACTGTTTGTTATTCTCTCTGCTTTTCCCTTGAAGACATGACAATGGATGAAGTACGAGAATTTGAACGAGCCACTCAGGAAGCCACCAACAAGAAAATCGGCGTTTTCCCACCCGCCATTTCCATCTCCAGCATCGCCCTGCTGCCTTCCTCCGTGCGCAGCGCCCCATCCAGCGCCCCGTCCACCCCTCTCTCCACAGATGCGCCAGAATTTCTGTCCATTCCCAAAGACCGGCCCCGGAAAAAATCTGCTCCGGAGACACTCACACTTCCGGATCCCGAGAAAAAAACCACCCTGAATTTACCTGGTGTCCACTCTTCTGAAAAGCCATATCGGCCCAAATCAGAGTAACTTCATGTGAACATCCCATTGGGTTTTATATTTTCAGTTCAGGCTTTTTTTTTTTTTTTTTTTTAAGGAGTCCTCTGGTAGAGGAAAAGACTGCCTCGTCGCTCAGATGTGTTCTTTGATCTCAGAGTGTGCATGTGGTTAAATAATTTCACTGATAGCAAGAATCCCTGCGTGTGCCACACAGCATCATAGTGAATATGAGATGTAAGACTAGGGAAAAAAAACAAAAAACAAACAAACAAAAAACAGGAGGGGCTGAGGACAGAACTTAGTGGCATGAAGCCCTAGGTTCGATCCCTGGCATGATTAGCTAGACAAGAGGATCAGAAGTTCAGGGCCAACCTCAGATATAGAGAGAATTTGAGGCCAACCTGGGTTATATGAGACCCTGTCTCAAAAACAGTCAAACAAAAAACCCACAGAATCATCTATAGTTTTATATGTGGACCAGGAAGGAAGACTTGATTTGGGGGCCTTGGTCAGTTTGATGGGCTTCAATGGTAAACAGGTCAATAGAAGAAAAAACATGAAGCCGGTTTTTGGTTTTGGGTTTTTTGGGTTTTTTTTGTAAGATGTGCTAAAATAATGAAATCAATTTCCTCCTATCAAACCTGAAATTCTCAACAACAACAAACAAAAAAAAAAAGAAAGAAAGAAAAAATATTCTCAGGTGTCACATGCCTAATTGTTAAATTTTGGACTGCTGACCACCAATACTTGAATTCCAGTTATTATCACTATTCCTGTTTTGATTAGTCTGACTCAGGATTTGGAGTCTAATCAACTCCTTAAATTTTTGAAAATTTTAATAACCAACTTCTAGAGGCTCCAAGCGCAATTAATGATGACTTCTTTATACCTTTTCACAGAATTGAAAAAGATCCCTCTGTTCCCGTCTCTTAGTAATTTCCCCTTTTGTACCCTGGTGGCCTCTCAGATCTTTATACTTGCCTGGATGACTGTGACCATAGCTGATAAAATGTGGACTGTTCTGGAAACCGAGAGCCCCAGGTGTGACAAACATCTTCTCTTCAGGTACCAACGAAGCTTGACCTGTGAGCTGCCATCATCCATTACGATTCTCAGAAATTTCAATGAACTAAATAGAATTCACTGACAATGTCCCACCTGAGGAAGTTCAGGGTGGACTAAGTTACCTGGGATTAACCACTGTCAAAATGTCTGGTGTCTGAACCTTGCAAAAGAGAATCCTCCCCACCCGGTTTATTCTTAGTAACACCCAGACGTCCCTGGAAGGGGCTGCCGATCACCAGGTTTTGGAAAATACTATCATTCTCTTACTTTTTCCTTATAGTCCAAATACCGGGGTATAGCTCAATGGTAGAGTTCTTGCCTAGCATGCAGGAGGCCCTGGGCTCAGTCCCCAACACTGCAGAAAGGAAACAGTGCAATTGGCAATGTCTCGGGAACCCAGTGAATACAGCCAAACGGGTGACCCTGTCTCCTTAGTAGACTCACCGACTGACTCCTGTTTGTACAGAGTCATAGTCATAAATGGCCCCTTTATCTTAGTCTCATTGCTGAAAGACATAGAAATGTACATCAGAGTCCAGGCCAACAGCTAACAAGGTCATTCATCAAAGTGGCAGAAAGAAATCTGTCACTGTTGCACCTCACTGCCTTTAAAGCCACAAAGAAGGCAAGCAGAATGTCACCAATGAACAAGAGGTAGCCGGGGAGCTCCAGGGCCCCTGTCCTAGCTATCCTTCCTGACTGACCTCCAACCTCAGGAAAGGAAATGACCCCCAACACAGATCCCACAGGAAACAAAACAGAACAAGGAGCATAATCTCCTTCCCTGACACCTCCCAGCCAGTGGACCCTGCCTGCACCCTCTCTTGAGTGCGCCACCCTCTGCAATGTCTCTCGGGTCCGTGCCCTCTCCCAAGGCACAGGTGCTGGCCCCTTGAGCCTAGCACCAAAGTGCTTCGTGTGTCTAGATCATTTCTTTATCCGTAGATGGACACTGTGCCCAGTACTCGAAGAAAAGCAATTGCAAATAGCTTTGTGCACCAGCGCCTCTTTCCCTTAAGGTGACAGCACCGTAGTAGGGTACCCTTCTTTGCATGGTCTGGAAGCATGAATCTCACTTGTGGGAAATCTTAATCTTTTCTCGAACCCTTTGGACTTCTCAATGGTTCCCTCTCCACGCAGCTGTTACTCAATGAGGATGTCTGGCTTTAACAAGCAAAATTCCACTTTCAGAAGATATGGAGATAATATATGTATCTGACCGTTTGCAAGCTGAAATGGGGCTGGGGTGGGCTCAGTGGTTCTCATGTAGTACAAATTGATTTTGTGCAGTGGTTAGCCCATCTGGCACCTAGTTTTCCATTAATACCATGCCACTTTCCCTTTTCTATACCAGCTTCTATTGTCAAGGCCAACAATCTGGTTCACTTTGAAAAGCTACTTTCTGATTCCCTTTTTTTGAGTTTTCTGTCCTTTATAGACAGCCCAATGCCTTTGACACCCGCTGTGGCGCTAACCTGTGATAGTGTAATTCTTAACCAACATGTGTGTGTTTAGTTTTTCTGTCTACATGTCGTTTGCCTGTGTTACAAATATGGAAGGGGTGGGATTCTGGATATTTCATTAGCTGCTTTGAATATTTAATCCAGTCATCACAAAGCATCAATGACTTCAATATTCTCTAAATCTTGATTTCCAAGTCTCTTTTTGCTTTGTCCTTGTTACATGAATCTGCTATTGTGAGATACAAGCCTGTGATGAATGTGTACATAGAGTGTGAATAATTCCTCTGAGTATGGAAACAAAATGGCTGCATGATGGAAATTTGGGAAGACAAAACAATATAACAGAAACTTGAATTTACTAAGCATGTTTGAGGGGAGAGTAGAATCCTTAACTCAGTGCCTCTGTCTGCCATGTGAAAACCTGCAACTTTGTTCACCAAAATTGTATTATACCTGTATATATATATACATACATATAAAAAATGCAGTATAGTGAGTCACACACCCCCAATTCTAAGTCTCTGGTAGCCAAATTGAAGTGAGTAATCCATAGGATGATATGTGTTTACCCCTCTTCATCTCTGACGTTGGTGGATGCTCCTAAAATGGCCATACATGTCTCTACTCCGGGTGGCTTCCCGAGAGGAAATATCCTCGTGGGCACAGCATCGTCGCTTTGTCTGTGCTTTCCCTGGGTCCAGGAGGTTTGGTGGTGTTTTTATTGCATAGGGTTTGTCTGAAGCCACCTCTGAAGAACATTGCCTCTCAAGCTGTAGTAAGAGAAAGCAAAAGGACAAACTGAGCAAGAGAGAAGCTGTGACTTTTTTGTCGTTGTTGTCGCTTCGTTGGTGGATTTGTTTATAAGTCTGCTGTCACAGCTTTGCATCTGTGGGGAACTGTTTTAACTTACTTACAGGTGTGTCAGCCTTGTTTGGGCTGTGGAAATAAGTTAGCTCAATTGTGCATGAATGAACACACACACATAATGAACACACACACACACACACACACACACACCCATGCAAAGGCTGTCACAGTGGCTCAGAGGGTCAAAGCACTGGCCACCAAGCCTGACAACCCGAGTTCAATCGCCAGGTCTCACATGATGGAAAGAAAGAACTAATTCTCATAAGTTGTCCTCTGACTCACACACACACACACACACACACACACACACACACACACACACACAAATAAATAAATAAAATTTTAAGAATAAAATACGAAACCCTCAATAATACCCCCTAAAAGTAATCATGTGGTTTACTTTCACAGCCTTTAGTGAACTGTAAACTAGGAGACATCTTGATAAAAACCCACTTCAATGAAATTTTCAAGACTAACGTGTTTATGAGTGCTTTCAAATTTCACTTCCGTTAGTATCTCTTCACTGCTCAGAGGTGACAAAATACCAGATCGCCAACTGGCTTAGATTGATGGGAATTTTCTTTTTGAAAAAGGCCACCGTAGAGTTGACTATCCTGTCCATCTATAACCAGATAATCCGATAGAGAGTTGACTGTCTAAATGGTTTCCGTACATCTCCATACTTTTCCAGTCACCTGACTAGTGGGCTAGACGGTGACAGTTGGCCATCTGAGCCATAATTGTAAAAATTCAAAAACCCTGGCCTGGCCGGTAAAAGTGGACATGAAGAAACTACGCTAAGCTCTTCGTCCTTGGTGTCGACACACAGACGCAAGGTATCTTGGGTTTCTCTGTGCTCCACCTTCACAGCAGTCGTTTATGTCTGATATGACATCGTGCTGTGAGAGAATGTGAATGTGTGGAGAAGTTTCCACACAAGGCCCCTTAACTATGACTCCACGTGGTTAACAAATGCTTACGGTAAGCCTCCCTGCTTTCTTGTCTTTCAAGTTGAAATGCTGTCTGTGGAACTTCAAGTCTCCCTTTCGGTTTCATTGTGCCCCGAGAGAAGAAGAGGTTCTTTTGAGTTGACGTTCTCCGTCTGCCATGTATGTGCCCTTTCCAGTGTGATTTCAGTGTTTACATTTTGGAGCTGAGACCTTGATTGGCTGACTTAGTCAAAATCCCACTGCCACCGCAGAAGGACCAAGTGTTGGGACACACAGTGTTGCAAGTAACGCAAGCGGAAGTGACGCACACGCGTCTGTGTCATTCCATGGCTGTACTGTTGTCTGCGCCCGCCCCCGTTATTTATTATTGTTGATAGCTTACTTTTTCTTACATTCTGTTGTAAATAAAGTACAAAGCAATCTTCTTCCCAAGTGTTGCTTCCTCTTTCTCAACTGGTCTCAAGGGAGTGCTAGCCAACTTTAACATGAGGGTCAGTGGGGAAGGAAGAAATCAATTACTGTACCCAGTGGAATGGCCTCGTGTGCAAGGATGCCTCCCCTACTAATGGTCATATGGAACTTTATATGCAAGACCCTTGGGAGGAAAAGTCCCAGAGTCCCTAATTTTCCAGCCTAAAAATAACAAAGGAAAAAGGTGGGTGGGGGTGGCGCACGCTTTTATTCCCAGCACTGGGGAGGCAGAGGCAGGCAGATTTCTGTGAGTCTGAGGTCAGCCTGGTCTACAGACTCCCAGAACAGCCAGGGTTACACAGAGAAACCCTGTCTTGAAAAACAAAAACAAAAGCGAAGGAAATCTATAACCCCATAGGATGAATGCATAAACTCCCTTATCCACCTAGCAGGTACTTGAATATTCATGGAGTTTGAGATCACATAGCCCACAGGAATCCTAGGGAGTGCCAACCAGATCCACTCTATGTCAAGTTAGGTGTGTGTGTGTGTGTGTGTGTGTGTGTGTGTGTGTGTGTGTGTGTTGGGAATAGAATCCAGCACCATTGGGGATGCCAGGTAAATAGGTAAATACTCTACTGAGTTGGACAGACCAACTAGGTCTTTGTGTTGTTTCATTTTGTTTTGTTTTTTAAGAGTCTCTCTCCATTATGTAGCCCTAGTTGTCCTGAAACTTATTTTGTGGACCAGATTGGCCTTGAACTCACAGAGATCCACCTGCCTCTGCCTCCTGAATGCTGGGATTAAAAGGGTGTGCCACTGCCCCCGCTCATTTTTTTTTTTTATGACAAAGTCTCATGTATTTCCTTGTACTTACAATATGGCTGAAGAAGACCTTGAAATTCCAATCTTCCTGCCTCAACCTTCCAGGTTCTGAGATTCAAGTGTGTGCTAGCACACACCATTTATACAGTTCTGGAGATCCAGCCCTAGTTGGGTTACTTTTTTTCTTTAAGGATTTATTTTATTGATGTGTGTTTGTGTGTCTTCAAGAGTGTATCAGATCCCTCAGAACTGGAGTTATAGGCGTGGCTGCTAGGATCTGAACTTGGGTTCTCATGTTTGAGCAGCAAGCGCTCCTAACCACTGAGCCATTTCTCCAGCCCCACAGCTGGGTCACTTTTTGGAAAGCCAAAGTTGTCTTGCCGTGGTTTCTCGATCTCAGGCAGCCACTGTTGTTTACAAGAGGGTCCTCCGGGGTTGGTGAGTGTGGGGACAGAAATGCTTCACTGTCCCTGGTTCATTAATCTTTTTGGAGTTCACGCAGAAACACACCCCTTACTCTGTCTTCCAGTTAATCCTGAAAGAAATAATGCCACAGTCTTGGGCTGGCTGGCTGGCTCAGTGAGTCAGAGTACTTGCTGCCAAGTCTAGTGACTGAAGTTTAATCCCCCCTAAAACCCACACGGCAGAAGGAGAAAATCAACTAAAGTTGTCCTCTGACCTCAACACAGGGGACACACACACACACACACACACACACACACACACACACACACACTAAATAAGTAAATAAATAAGTAATTAAATAAATAAATAAGTGCTATTTAAAAGAAGACAGAAAATGTGGCAGTCCGACCTGAACGGAGCAGGCACACTGCTTATACTGCAGTTCTGAGTTGTGTAATACCAACTCAATTAACTACAACATGTTTCCTTTTGTAGCTCCAACTTCACCATTACACCCCCATCCCGTCTTTCAATTCCATCTTCCAAACACACAAACTTCCCACACACTGCTGCGGGCTAGCTGTCAGCCTGCGTTCTTGAGCAGAGGCTGCCTCGTGCAGCTCAACTGTAATGGGTTGTTAGATATCTGCACGCCTACTTCTCAATGTACAGGTGCTTGTGACACGGCCCACCCCAAGGTCCTAAGCAGAGCTCATCATCCAAAGTGTCTTCCCACTGAGGCCTAACCTTAGACTCCTGAACACCCACATATTTCTCTAAGAGTTCCTCAACCACCATTACAGTCATTGCCTTCCTGGAGACATTTCTGCCTCTGACCTCCAACTGTACCTTGGTCTCAAAGTTCAGGATACATCCTGTCTGAAATAGCCATACAGGAAACTGTCAGGGTCAGCTGGAGGCTTTGATGGCTTAGCAAGGACAACTTGGGTACTCATCTGCACTGGGGTGTGTGGTGGAGCCAGCAAGCCCTGTTTTCAAGGTTACGGATTGACGTTTTCTGCCTAACTTGTCTACACATGAATTCTCTCTTCTATCATGTGCAGCTTAATAGATTACCTCAGTCAAATCTAAAGGTTTAACTACTTTCCTCTTCCTGGGAAAGGTGGTATTCTAGGGTGTTGTCTGTTGTTGTGATAAACAGCACACTGCCTTAGTCAGGGTTTCTATCCCTGTGATGAAACACCACGACCAAAAAACAAGTTGGGGAGGAGAGGGTTGATTTGGCTTACACTTCAGCATTGCTGTTCAGCACTGAAGGAAGTCAGGACAGGAACTCAAACAGGGCAGGAACCTGGGGGCAGGAGCTGATGCAGAGGCCATAGAGGGGTGCTGCTTATTGGCTTGCTCTGTCTGCTTTCTTATAGCCCCCAGGACCACCAGCCCCGAGGTGTCCCCACCCACAGTGGGCTGGGTCCTCCCCCATTGATCACTAATGAAGAAAATGTCTTACAGGTTTACCTACAATTCAATCTTACATTTTCTGAATTGAAGTTCCCTCCTCTCAGATGACTGCAGCTTGTGTTAAGTTGCCAAAAAACTATCCAGCACACTGACCAAAAGCAACCTGAGGAGGAGGGGGTTTATTTCAGCTAACATATCATAGTTGATCATTAAGGGAAGCCCGGGGGCAGAGACTAGATATTGGCTCGCTCTCCTTGATTTGTTTAACTCTCTCTCCCTCTCTCTCTCTCTCTCTCTCTCTCTCTCTCTCTCTCTCTCTCTCTCTCTCTCTCTTTCTCTCTCTCTCTCTCTTCCTCCCTCCCTCCCCCCCCCCCCCTCTCTCTCTCTCTCCCTCCCTCCCTCCCTCCCTCCCTCTCTCCCTCTCTCTCTCTCTCTCTCTCTCCCTCCCTCTCTCCCTCTCTCTCTCTCTCTCTCTCTCTCTCTCTCTCTCTCTCTCTCCCTCCCTCCCTCCCTCCCTCTCCCTCCCTCCCTCCCTCCCCTCTCTCCCCTTCTCCCTTTCTCTCCCCCTTCTCTCTCCTCTCTCCTCTCTTTCTCTCTCCCCCACTTCTCTCTCCTCCCCCTTCTCTCTCCTCTCTCCTCTCTCCCTCCCTCAACACACACACACTTTATTATTAATTGTGTGTGGAAACGTGCACATGTGAGTGCAATACCCTTGAAGGCCAAAAGAGGTTGTGAGCTGCACGTGTCGGTTCTGCGAGCTGCATTCAGGACCTCTGGAAGGGCAGCAAATGCTCTTAACTGCTGAGCCACCTCTCCAGCCCCTCAGCTACCTTTCTCATACAGCTCAGACCCTTCTGCCCAAGGATGGCCTGCCCAAAGTAGGGTAGCCTTCCTACATCAATAAGCAAGCAAGACAATGCCCCACAGACACGTCCAGGGCCGATCTGAAAAAGGCAGTTCTTCAGTTGAGATCCCCTCTTTCCAGATATGTTGGAGTTTGTGGTCAAGCTGATAAATAATAAACTAACCACAGTTAGGAACAGGTCAGTACTTTGCCTCAATGTTCTTGTTCTGTTCCCAGCATGTAAGAAAAAGAAAAAAGATAAAAAGATAAAGAAAGGACGAGGAGGAGGAGGCCTGGGGATGTAGCTTAGTGAGTAGAGTGCTTGCCTGGCATGTACAGTCTTGGCTTCGATGCCCACTACCACATAAATCAGGTGCGATGGTACACCTTAGTAATCTTCGAGTTTATTATAATAGAGAGATGAAGAGAAAGATAGGAAAGAGAGAGGCAGAGAGAAAGAGAGAGGAGAGGGAGAGAAAGAGGGTGCACACCTTGTGGGAATAGAGAGAAAGAGAGAGAGGAAGGGGGGAGTTTTCCTTAGACTGAGGCTTTTACATCAGGATGCAGGGTGGTGCCAAGGGGTGGGATTCCAAGGGGCGGGCCAGAATATTAACAACCACAATTTAAAGCCAAATTTGAAGCAACCTTTAATTAAACACTGGCCAGGTGGATGGGCTCTGGCCAGGTCCATTTCTGAATTTCCAGAAGATGGCCCAGAATCAAATTTTGCAAGGGCTTAAGAAGAAAACCCGTAATTCATTACATCAGGTCCAATCAGAGGCAAGCATACATTCGGATGTATTTCCTGATGTATATCAGGACGTATCACCACATGTGTTCAAGCACATCTGGTGCAGATGGGTCAAACAAACCTGTGGCTTGTTATCTCCCATAAACAATAGCCTCCAGCGTTTCAGGAACTATCCGTCTTTGGGCAAGGGGCTTGCAGATCAGAGGCATTTTTGTTTCAAGGATCTCTAAGGCATAGTAATTAAAACTTAAAATATAACTGGCTCTCACACTACCTTCTGACCTCCAGATTCACAGTGGTGTATGTGTGCCCCCAGTCCCCAAACTCACACATTAAGTAGATACTTTTTTAAAAATACCAATCACATGCACCTAAGGCAGACACTAAAGACTTGAGATTATGACCTCCCTCTCTCTCTCTCTCTCTCTCTCTCTCTCTCTCTCTCTCTCTCTCTCTCTTTTGGTTTTCTGAGACAAGCTTTCTCTATATAACAGCGCTGGATGTCCTGGAACTCGATCTGTAGAGCAGGCTGACCTTGAACTCGCAGAGTTCTGCCTGCCTCTGCCTCCCGAGTGTCGGGATTAAAGGCCTGTGCCACCACCACCCAGCTATGACTTCTCTTACCCCAATAAAGTTCTTTGTCTTCAAATGTCCAGTTGGTAGACACCAACCTGTTTGTACACCTTCCCCCACAGCTGGGGCGTCTCCACCCTTAGCGTTCCTGATGTAACCCACTTGATGGTTGTACTCGGAAGCCAGTTTGATAA